TTGTACTATTTTAATATGATGAATTATACTGAGTGATTTTCGGAATGTTAAAACAGCCTTGCAACCCTGGGATAAAGTCCACTGGATTATGATTGTCTTTCTGTTTTGCTAGATTTTATTTGCTAATATTTTTAAAGTATTTTTCTATGTCCAATCATTAATGACATATTGGTCTATAATTGGTCTATAATTTTTGGTCTATAAGTTTTTCTTGTAATGTCTGTTAGACTTTGACACTTCAGTTGTATTGGCCTTTTAAGTACTCCCACCTCCTTCACATTCTAAAGATTTTGTGTAAAATTAGAATATTTCTTCCTTAAGTATTTGAAAGAACTCACTAGTGAATCCATTTGGGCCTGGTACTTTATAGGAAGATTTTAAAATGTGCAACAAAAGTCTAGATGATTTTTTTTTCTACACATTTATCCAGTTGTCCCAGTACTATTATTAAAAAGACTATCCTTTCTTCATGTACGCCTTGGTGCCTTTGTCAAAAATCAACTGACCACACATGCATGAGTTTATTCCTGGACTCTATTTTACTACCTTGATGGATTTCTCTATCCTTATGCCAATACCACACTGTCTGGATTGCTGTAATCTGAAATAATTATGTCTTGAAATCAGTATAAATCAACTAATTTTATTTTATTGAGAGATAATTCACATATCATATTGAAGTACAGTTAGATTTTGAGATATTCACAGAGATTTGAGATATTCACCACCATCCAATTTAGGGAAATTTTCATCACCACACAAAGAAACCCCAAACCCATTAGCAGTCAGTCCCTACTTTCCCCTTCCTCTAACCTCTGACAAACACTGATCTACTTTCCGCCTCTACAGACTTGTCTATTCTGGACCTTTCAGACAAACAGAATTATACAGTATGTGGTCTTTTGTGATTGGCTTCTTTCACTTAACATAATGTTTTCAAGGTTCATCCATGTTGTAACTACAAGAATGTTAAGGATCTTCTAGGTCTTTAGCTTTTCCATATACATTTTAGAATCAACTTAACCATTGTATTTTTTTAAAGTCAACTAGAATTATAATTGGGATTGCACTGAATCTATTTATCAGACTGGGAAACTGACAGCTTAATACTGAGAGTTCCAATTCAGACACATGTTCTATCTCTACATTTACTTATTCTAAAAATTACCTCTGCATTGTTTTATAGTCTTCATTGCAGAAGTTTTACACATTTTTGATTAAACTTATTCTAAGTATTTTATTTTTGAAGGTATGGTAAATAACATTTTAAACTTCACCTTCAATTGTTTTCAGTTAATATGTAGAAAAACAATTGATTTCTGTACATTGGACCTATACCTTATGACTGTCACAGTCACTTGTTAGTTCTACTGTACTTTTTCTTTTCTGTAGACTCCTTGGGATTTTCCATACATAACCTTTTGCCTGCGAATAAACAGTTTTACTTCCTCCTTTCCACATGTTCTTTTACATTCTTTGGAGTTCTGTTTTGCCTCTCTGCACTGGGTAGGACCTCCCAAACAATGCAGAATCAAAGTGGTGTGTACATACCCTCAAACTTTATCCCTAATCTTGAGAAGAAAGTGTTCACTATTTCACCATTAAATAGAATTTAACCGTGAAGTGTTTTCATACCATTTTAGAATTGGTTTGCTGAGGCTTTTGTTATTTGTACCCACTTGAGATACTTAAGTCATTTTTTTCTCTTCTTTCTTCTTTTATTTGCACTATTTTATTTATTTATTTATTTAGAGACAGAGTCTTGTTCTGTCGTCCAGGCTGGAGTGCAGTGGCTTGGCTCACTGCAAACTCTGCCTCCTGGGTTCATGTGATTCTCCTGTCTCCACCTCCTGAGTAGCTAATTTTTGTATTTTTAGTCAAGAGGGGGTTTTGCCATGTTGGCCAGGCTGGTCTCGAACTCCTGACCTCAGGTGATCTGCCTGCCTTGGTCTCCCAAAGTGCTGGGATTACGGGCGTGAGCCACGGCACCCAGTCTTATTTGTACTATTTTAATATGATGAATTATACTGAGTGATTTTCGGAATGTTAAAACAGCCTTGCAACCCTGGGATAAAGTCCACTGGATTATGATTGTCTTTCTGTTTTGCTAGATTTTATTTGCTAATATTTTTAAAGTATTTTTCTATGTCCAATCATTAATGACATATTGGTCTATAATTGGTCTATAATTTTTGGTCTATAAGTTTTTCTTGTAATGTCTGTTAGACTTTGACACTTCAGTTGTATTGGCCTTTTAAGTACTCCCACCTCCTTCACATTCTAAAGATTTTGTGTAAAATTAGAATATTTCTTCCTTAAGTATTTGAAAGAACTCACTAGTGAATCCATTTGGGCCTGGTACTTTATAGGAAGATTTTAAAATAAAATTAAAAAAAAAAAATTCTAATCGATCAGAGCTATTCAGACTTAGTGGCACAGAGTTAGAATTAAGACTGGGTTGTTATATGTATTTTTCAATGAACTTGTCTACGTCATCCAAATTGCCCAATTTATTACTATAAAGTTGTTCATAATATTCCTTTATTTACCTTTTTTACCATAGTAATGTCCTTTCTATCATTTCCAACATTAGAAGTTTGTCTTACTGTACTACAGTTGACCTTTGAATAATATGGGTTTGAACTGCTCAGGTCCACCTACATGCAAGTTTTTTTCAATAAAAGTTACATCATATATGTCTGCCTTTCCTGCCTCCCCTTTCCTTCTACCTAGTAACATTTACTTTGCTCTACCTACTTTATTGTAAGAATGCAGTATAAAATACATATAACATACAAAATAGGTGATAACTATGTTAACGGTAAGGTTTCTGGTCAACAGTTGGCTATCAGTAGTGAAGTTTGGGAGTGTCAAAAGTTATAAGTAGATGTGGAACTGCTCAGGAGGTTGGCGTCCCTAACCCTACATTGTTCAAGGGTCCACTATAGTTTCTCTTTATTTCTGGTTTAGTGTAGCTAGAGGTTGAGCCACTCTTCGCTAATCTTTTCAAAGTAATTACTTTCAGATTTGATGATTTTTTTTCTATTTATTTTCCTGTTTTCTACTTCATTGATGTATTAGAGAACCAAAACAAAAAGTGAAAAAGAATGTTACTAAGAGAAGCAAAAGTAAGAGGACAAAAAAATGAAACAAAGATAAAATTACCCTCAACATCTGAGTTACTTATTGATGTTGCCTTAACAGACTCTTAATTAGATTATAATAAAATTAATAAAATGATAAAATGCTATGTAGAATAGAAAGAATGAAAATACCATTAAAACTAAGTAGAAATGCTTTGAGCATGACCAGAAATTACAGGTGTGCATACTTTAAAAAGATCAAAAAGATGCAGCTCAAAGAAACTTAGCAATCAAGATGAACATTATTTAGCAGCTAAGCACAATATACATCAAACCATTCTTATGAAAAACAGTGTAACCATTTCAACACTTTATGAAATGCGTAACAAGCTCAAACGAGTAACAAAAACTCAAACTACAATAGTCTTGAAAATTTCATCACTGACCTTTTTGTTACTGTCTACCAAAATAAGGTTTCTGAAGATAAAAGTTTTGAAAATATTTTACAGGAAGAAAACAATGTAGGTGACCATGCATCACGGGTAAGGGTGCAATATTTCTGTTACAATATGTACAATGGTCATTTAAAAAGAAAACATATTACTCACTCAAATTTTCAGAAGTTACCATGAATTCCTCAATTTCATCATCAGAATCATCTATTAAGGGCATGAAGGCATATCTATAGCAAAAACAAGGAGCAGTTTTACTAGTATGTTTAAACTTGTTCAATTTTCAGTTTATAGCTAAAAGCCATTGTATAAAAAATCTACATTTAAAAATTTTCTTATACTTTAAAATAATGAAAACGTAATTATTTTACTTTCAAATTAGCTAAAATCATTATAAAGAAATTGTGAAACTGGAGCTCTCAAACCCTGTTTGTAAAAGCCTAAGTGGGTAAAATCTTTCTGCAAAGCAATTTTGCAATACTTAATGTTGAGGGAAGGGAACTTTCTGCTGTTTCTTTCTCCATGTCAAGTTTACCTCTCTGCCCACCTCTTGTCAGTCTATTCCCTAAAAAAAGAAAAGTTGTCAATCTGATTGGCAAAAATAAAGCCCACTGAATGGGCCACATTTCCTATGTGATAAGATCAAAACACTGCTGATAAAGCGTGAATCAAGACAACCTTTCTGGAGGGTCATTTGGCAATAGCCATTAAAGTAAAAATGCATTTACCTTACATTACACTAACAAAAGTTTGCCAAGATGATGTCCAACAGCATTCTGAAAACATTAACAGCAAAAATCTATTTTTTAAACAAAATGTCTAATAACCAGGGACTGCTTATATAAATTATATTACATTCATGTTATGAAATGCCATTAAGCCTTTAAAAGATCTATATATGCTGATATGGAAAGACAGTTTTTTTTCTTTTTTGAGACAGCGTCTGGCTCTGTTGCCCAAAATGGAGTGCAGTAGCAGTGGCATGATCTCAGTTCACTGCAACCTCCACATTCTGGGCTCAGGCCATCCTCCCACCTCAGCCTCCCAAGTAGCTGGGAGTACAGGCACATACCACCACACCCAGATAATTTTTGTATTGTTTTTGTAGAGACGGGGTTTCGCCTTGTTGCCCAGGCTGGTCTCGAATTCCTGGGCTCAAGTGATACACCCGCCTTGGTCTCCCAAAGTGCTGAGATGATAGGCGTGACTTTAAACAGGAAGGTACAGAACAGTACGTATATGTATATGTGTGTGTGTGTATATATATGTATTATTGTATAATTTTAAAAAGGACAGGAAAAACACACACTGATACAGGTTAAGAAGCCTTTATGCAAAATGCTTGAGACCAGAAGTATTTTGAGTTTTGGCTGTTTTAGATTTTGGAATATTTGCATTATCCTTACCAGTTGAGCATCCCAAATCTGAAAATCTGAAATTCAAAATGTTCCAGTGAGCACTTCCTTTGAGTATCCTGTTCGTACTCAAAAAGTTTTGGATTTTGGAGCATTCTGGATTTGGGATGTTGAATCTGTACATACTTTTTCATTTTTTCCTAAAGGTTGGACAAGAACTTAAGGTCTTTCCTTGGGGCAAAGGGATAAAGCAAGGAAGCTGAGGCTTCCCATCACATGCAGTCTCAAGTACAACTTTCTGAACTTGACACTGAAGTCTTTTGTCATTTTGGCCATACCTCTCCCTTCCAGCTTGATCTCCCTCCAATATGAGTATGTGGTATTAACCAAACTGCCTGTCTCACTGGCCTCCAAAGTATCTCACGTCTTTCCCACCACCCCAGAAAATGGACACACTTTCCCAGTTCAGTCATTCACTATCCTATTCCTTTCCTCAAGGTGTAACATAAGCGCTGTCTTCTCAGGAAGTCTTCCTCAACCCTCTTCCATCTTCCCCTGGACTAGTCTATACATCTCTTTTTTCACTGTCTTGCACTTGTTTTGCTTATCTCCCTACTTGACTGTATACTCCTTAAAAGCAAGGACTACTCCCCCGGTTTCTATAAACGCGTTCTTGACACTACAGAAAGTGATCAACAAATCCTTGCCGACCTGAAATGTCCTATGTTAGGTACCTCTGATTGTTTGCTGATGGTCTCCACAAAAACATGATTACAATAAGGATAAGCGAAAAAAGGAAGCTCCAAAATGCATCGTCAACCCAGCGTTCCATCCAGTCCTAAAATAAGGACAATTAAAGCATGAAAAGTTAATTTTCTGATAAGTATATAGGTTTCCCATTCAAATGGTGTGCAATGACAAGTACTAATGAAATCTTTCCAACCAGTAAGTCTTCCAAACAAACAAGAATATATTTTTTCAATAAACCTTTATTATTCAAAATGTTTCTAAAGGGCTTTTTAATGTTACAAATATTCCCTGCCATAAAATTTTGGGGTTAACAGAAAGATTTCAAAATCGAAAAATGCAAAACATATACTTAGGATTTCAAGTGGCAAATACTAAGGTCAGAAGGCCCAGCCTCTTCTTTTATCAAATTGTCTCTAAGGCAGCAAAAGCTCTGGATTATCAGAGGCCTTTTTGTGATTATTTATGTAGCACTAGAGACTAGCTCCAAATCTCAAGAAATCCCCAAAAGAGGATCTTTCATATTCTAAGTCTAAGAAATATATCTTCTTCCAACATGGAAACCCACAGAAAACATGGCTTGACTCGGGCGGCTGAGGCAGAGAATTGCTTGAACCCGGGAGTCGGAGGTTGCGGTGAGCTGAGATCGCGTCACTGCACTCCAGACTGGGTGAGAGAGCGAGACTCGTCTCAAAAAAAAAGAAAACATCACTCGAATGCCCATACTGAATACACGATTCTAGAAACATGACAGTCTTAAGATTTCCAGTCCCATCTAGATACAAACCACTCAATTTCATGGTGTGCAGGAAGAAAAGGATTCCTCTCAGGATATATAGGAAGAGAACTTATTTTCAAAATATATAAAAAAAGACTTGAGAAAAGGGCATAATGGGAAAAGGAGATTTAGGAGGAACTTTTTCAGAATCACTTGGAGAGTTAAAAGTTTTTTTTTTTTTTTTTTTTGAGACTGGAGTCTCGCTCTGTTGCCCAGGCTGGAGTGCAGCGGCACGTTTTTAGCTCACTGCAAGCTCCGCCTCCTGGGTTCATGCCATTCTCCTGCCTTAGCCTCCCGAATAGCTGGGACTACAGGCGCCCGCCACCACGCCCAGCTAATTTTTTGTATTTTTAGTAGAGATGGGGTTTCACTGTGTTAGCCAGGATGGTCTCCATCTCCTGACCTTGTGATCTGCCCGCCTCGGCCTCCCAAAGTGCTGAGATTACAGGTGTGAGCTACCGCACCCGGCCAAAAGTTTTTATAACTCTGTAAAAAATAGTTCAAAGTAAAAAGAAAATCTCCATTAAAATCACCTCTATTTGCAAGCATAAACTAAATTCTTCAAAATTCTACAAAATAGTATAAATAAAAAAAACAACTGTTTAAATAGGAAGGTTATACTTACTGACTGGCATTTTGCAATTCGAAATGTCTTAGTTGTCCACCCCATAAACACTATAGAAGCTGAAACACACACAAAAAGTCACCTTGAAGGAATATAACAATACTAAGATAATTTACTATAAGAAAAATTAAATAGCTTACCCAGCACAGCAAAGATCAGAGTATTTTTAAAGTGTCTATATAATGAAAATTTCACAGTGTTCTTTCTTAGCCTTAGAGTCTTCATAGTTTGTGCCAAACTAATAAAAATGTGAAAAAGTTAAGGAAAAACATTCCAAGTAATAATAAGCGGTTTAAAAAACAAAAACAAAAACAAAAAGAATCTTCTACTATGTTTCCGAAGTCAGTACTGCTAAATACAATTCCTAAAATTTGAAGCTAATAAAAACACAGAAAACATTATCTTGGCCAATATTGTACAATCATTATACTTTATCACAACTTTTCTTTTACAATTTACCATTGTCTGAACTAAGAAAACAAACTCCAAGGAAAAAGCACGGAAGACCCACGATGCATTCCACCAATGCCACGCACCCGCAACACCGCATAGAGCCGTGCACGCACTAAAACCCCTCCCAGTGAGACACTCTTTACAGATCACATTGTCACAGGCCATTTGGCTTGTGCTTTTCTGGCTCTATTTCTGTCTTATTTTGTTCTTTCTAGTCTATTCTCATTTTATTCTTTGAATAACCATAATTAAGAAGTTAGGTCATCTACCAATTCCATTTTATAAATTTTAAAACTGAAAAACATCAGATAAAACAAATCTGGACTTAGCTAAGGGCTTTATTTGAAAGACCACTGCAATGGGGGAGGATTATTGCAACAGGAAGAATACTACGACTGTAATATCTGCAAGAGTCTCAGAGGTTGGGCAGAAAAGGGTTTTTCTTTTATAGAGCACAGCAAACAAGGCTAGAAAGCAGTAGGTGTGGGGAGTGAGTGGTGGGACTAGACATATTGATCAGGGAATGTCTTTTCTTGAGGCCTGCAGATTCTCGGGAGGGCTGTGTGTTGGCTCAGGCTGACAGTGCGTCAACGTTTATGTCCCGGAGGAAGAATACTTACAGTTTGGTTCAGTCACTGTTTTGTTCAGATTGATCAGTGGATATAAAGAGTTCATCTAATCATTCATGATGCAAGGAATGGGAAATCGGAGGGTCTGTGCCCGGCCTTGTCACAGGTAGACGAGGGGGCCTCCAGGAATCTTATCTAAGTCCAGTGGGGAAGGGGGTTCTCTGCGGTAAGTCTTTTCTCGGAACACAAATAGGGAAGGGGGTTTGGAGGGGGGTGTCTTAATCTTGGCTGTTTTCCAGGAGCACAGGGCTCAGGTAAAGTTCAACATTGCCAAGGATGAAGGAGCAAAAAGAGACTTTTCCACTGACTCCTCAGCAGTGAAACAGAATTCAAGGCAGCTCTGTCTCTGCTCTTAAATGAGAATTCCTTCCTCTGGAGCAGACCAACAAGCTCTGTTTATGAACCAAACACTAAAAATAACAGCGCTGAGCAACAGAATGGATGTGGCAAGTTTTAAAAATTATAAATGTCATTAATCAAAAACTTCATTTTAGTATTGAAGCTACTTTAGTACTTTAGTACAAAACTGCTTTTTCATCTTCTAAATGACCAACAAATTACAAAAGAGGATCAATTTCTAAAGTAATACAATACGACCAATTCAGGTTACTATGAGAACTTTAAAAATGCAAATATACTTTATTCCTTAAATACATCAAAACATATAATTTTAAAAATTCTTGACTAAAACCAAATTTCTAGGATTAAAAAAAAATCTGGTGTGGTTTAATAATTCAAAAAAAAAATGTTTTTAAGCTAAGGAATAAAAAGCAAATTTGAAATTGCCTAAGCCTCTACTTACCAAGACACTGTTAAATTTAGGGAAAGTGTAAATATTCCTGCCATGGAAGGAAAGTAGTCATGAAAGCAAATAGCCCTTCTGATTTTGAAGTGAGAGCGCGCTGCTATGGTAGGAAAAGGATATCCACCAGCACAAGCCAGAGTCAAGGAGAGAGAGGGGGAGGCTGGCCAGAAGAACAAGATCAGAATCACGCGCCTGCAGCAAAACAGGAAAAAAAGAAAAAAAAAGAAAACAAAAGAAAAGAGAAACAAGAAGAAAAAAAAGGGGAGGAAGGGCCACAGGAGAAAGGCTAAGGCTATGGCTTTTGAATTTTTCAGCCTATTTTTTTTCCTATGACTTCAGAATTAGATTCTTATAGGATTGGTTATATTAAGTTCATCAAAATCAAAGGAAGCAGGGTCATTTTCCAAAGCACTCAATTGTATATGTATTTAGTTCTGCTTTTTTTCCTCGTCGTTTATATCATTTAGGAAATCTGCTATCTTTCTGTATAGAGAAAGCAGACGTTTCATTTTAGTGATAAAAATTACCAAACAGCAATCTGAAAGCAAACTTCACAAATTCAGGCTCATGCAGAAATAGATACTAGACTTCCCTTGTCTCACCATGAAACACTAAACAAGATCTTTTACATTCTAGATTTGACTATTTCTTGAAACATTTTCATTACAAATATTCACAATTAAGCAAACTAAGTCTTTCATCTGTTTTCCTTATTTTCCTACCCCAATCTGGCTAATCAGATACTGGAATATGTGAAAGTCAGTGGTGTCCATAAAGGTAATAAATTACCCTCACTCAAATCCAGATGGATTAGAACCGTTAGAGCTGCTTTTCTTTGGAATTTTCTGCCAAGCTGCATTACTGAGTGTTTTTCCCAATGAACTACCTTGTGGATGGTTAAGAACAAGAAATTGGCAGGGCACGGTGGCTCATACCTGTAATCCCAGCACTTTGGGAGGCTGAGGCAGGCGGATCATGAGATCAAGAGATCAAGACCATCCTGGCCAACATGGTGAAAACCCATCTCTACTAAAAATACAAAACATTAGCTGGGCGCGGTGGCACGCGCCTGTAGTCCCAGCTACTCAGGAGGCTGAAGCAGAAGAATCGCTTGAACCTGGGAGGTGAAGGTTGCAGTGAGTCAAGATTGCACCACTGCACTCCAACCTGGCGACAGAGCGAGACTCCGTTTAAAAAAAAAAAAAAAAGAACAAGAAATCTTTGAAATAAATATCTATAAATTGTCAGAAAAGATAGTTATTTTTTAGAAAACCACAGTCTGCAGCTTAATTAATTGAATGAAGGACCATACTCCCAAACTTGTTAACGTTCCAAGCATACACAGCTTTTAGAAACAAGACAATTCTAAATTGAATAGATATCATCAGCTCATTTTCTAAACACACAATGCCAGAAAATAAGACACTAAGGTCTAAAGATAATCTGAGGTCAACAGGCAGGTTCATCTCCACTGTAATTCTGCCTATCCCAACGCAAGGTATGTTGATACCTCCTGCCCGTTCTCAAGGCAGGAGGGCCCCCCTAACAAGCGGTCCTGTAGGACCTACAGCCTTTGTGGTGATTGTTCCTACCACTGGAACACTGCTCACACATAGAACTGGGGAACAGACATCACATTTTTAGCAAATGAATGTCTTTAATTTTTTTAATACAGAAAATATGAAAATGACACCAGAGGAAGATATTTATATCACTTTCTGAGAAAATCAGATTTCTTTAACTATATTCAACAAACTTGGATTCTAAACTAGTAGCTCTGAACAAAATAGAATATGCTTTTTCAAACAAGTTCAGTCGGAAACAACTCTTTAAATCAGTTATCATTCCCTAAGTAGGCTCCTCAGACTCCTAAGATGTCCACAGATATAATTTGGGGGTCTTTAACTGCCCTGTCATATGCAAAGCTCCTTGTGTGTGTCTGTGTTCTGCGGAGAGAGGCTCCACAGCTGTTAGCAGATTTTCCAAAGCATGTCTGATCCTAGTACCCAAACAAGGTTAAGAATCACTGCTTTGACGAGTAAGGATAATGAATTAGAAATTTCTGGTTTGTAGCACTCTTCATAGGCTTTTTAAGTTGGAAGCATATTGAGAATTCACAAACAGGGAATTTAAAGAATAGGTAGACCTGGCTTAGAAAACAACCCACAAGGGGCTCAGAAAAGCCTATGAGGAATGCTACATTTGCTAGCACACCTGAAAAATGGGAGACCTTCCTTCCAGGGCATAGTGATGAGATCCAAGCCCTCTGGCCCTTCCTATGAGACACATAGATGAGAAAATGGAAAAAGATACAAGAAAAACAATTTTTTAAAAAAATTGATGTCAAAAAGCTAAAAGACATAAGTATCAAAAACAGCGGAAACAAAGAACTTGGCAAAAAATGAAACCTATCTAACAGGAAAGCATTTCAAAGAGGACATAAATATAACAGAAACAGGTCCAAAGAATGTTCTGGGATATGCATAACCCTGCATTCCACTCTGGTCAGTCACATTTTCTCTTGAATTCCTCCCATTTCCACAAGTGCCCCCAAGGAGAAAAAAGCAATGGGGATTCCCCAGACTCAACTTGAGTCATCGAATCAGAGAAGACCCTCGAGGATCCAGTCCCTGCTGCCTCTAAAACTTCTCCTGCAATATGGCTGCAGCCCCTAAACCTTCTCTGAACCTGCTTCTTCCACCCATTTCCAGCAAGTCTATCGTGTGGGCTCTTCTTCCCATATCCCCTACCCTACTTCTGACCCTCACTATCTCTTCTTTGGACCACTGCAAAGGCAAAGGAATACTGACTCACTTTCCTGACTCTAGACTCTCCTTTCCCATGTCATCTTCTTCTGTCACCAGAGTTCTCACTGACACAAGTTTCATCACATTACTCACCTGTGCAGCTTCAATTCCTCTCCAGCCCCTGCCTCCGGAAGGCACTCAGCTCTTGAGCGTGCCCTGCCACCCTTCCCTGAACCACCTGCCAAGGCTCACCCACGCACATCCACCCAGAGGCAGGCTTCCCTGGACATTCTGCCACTGTCCCCCCTGTTTCCCTGCTTCAACTATTTGCTCCCCTCCATTCTTCCTAGAATACCTCTTCCCCAATTACCTTCTTATTAATTGTAAACCCCTACTTGTCTTCCCAGTCTCAATTTAAATGCTGCCATCTCTGTTAAGTCTTTCCTGATTTTTATGCCAGCATTAACTTCTCTCTTCCCCTGCTGGCACAGCACCTCTCTAAGATAGCAACTACTACTGCTATATTGATGCTAGTTATGTATCTGTCTCCCCTACAAGACTGTGAATTCCTTAAATTTGGGGACATCTTTTTCACCTATGCCTCGTCAGTATGGGGCACACACTGAGGATAAGCACTAACTGTATGCTAAACTATATAGAAAAAATAAAGATATTCCTTGTTTGGGGAGTTGCTACTTTTTTGCCTTCAAGTGAACCCTCGTATTAAGGTAACAAAAATGCATAACTGTATTTCTTTCTATCGTTATTACAAATTACATGTAATCTGATTTTAATGATAGAAAAAACTATTTTGAAGGACACAGTAAAGGATATGAACCACACAAAAATGGAGTCAATAACTGCTAAAATAATGTCATCAAGAACAACAGCTAAATGGTTAGAACCCTGAAAGATAAAAATAGGGGAAGAAACCTGAAAGTAAGAGTTTCATTGCACTACAGCAATTATCATTTGATGAAGAAAAATAATTTAGCTTATCTCTTCGATTTACAAAGCCACATAAAAGATTTAATTTCCTAAGAGGATTGTGTTTAAGCACATGGAAATGACCTGTTTTTTGATAGCAACAATTGCTAATTTATGTGATGATAGCAACATAAAACAGTATTACGTAATGGCAAATAAAAAGCATCACGTCCCCAACCTCACTAACACCAGCCATTTCAATCTCTCTCCTCCATACCAAACCGACAGCCAGGGCTATTAATGAAATGAACTCCTGATCTTTTCTGACCGTGTTGTGAAGGGACACAAAAAAAGTGAAGGGGGGATCCATGTTAGACATTTACTCTGACTAGTCAAATTTAAAAGTCACTATCTAAGATGTTGGCTATGTAAATTTTTTTTTTTTTTTTTTTGAGACAGAGTTTTGTACTTGTCGCCCAGGCTGGAGTGCAATGGCGCGATCTCAGCTCACTGCAACCTCTGCCTCCCAGGTTCAAGCCATTCTCCTGCTTCAGCCTCCTAAGTAGCTAGGACTACAGGCGTGTGTCACCAAGCTACGTACAATTTTAAAGGAATACAATATATATAGTGTATTTACATGTGGGATATTTATCTTTTCTATTTCTTTCTGGCAAATATTTATTTATTATTATTATATGAATGCGGAGTTCTTCATGATTATACAAAGGTGAAAATAAATATACTCAAAGACTAAAAGAGCATCTAACACTGAATACGGGTGTATCAAAGATAACAGGGAGAAGAATGGGGCTTTTTAGCATTACTGGATAAATATTTATGATCTGATTTATACAGCTAATCCAAAAGATATTTTAGGTAAAATGACAAAGGTCTTTGGATTAGGTAAGACATCATAAGCTTCTTAATCACTCAGTCCTCAATCATTTATTCAAAAAACTGAAGCAACCATGCATGGTAACTCACATCTGTAATCCCAATACTTTGGGAGGCTGAGGTAAGAGGATCACTTGAGGCCAGCCAGGAACTCAAGACCAGCTTGGGCAACATAGTGAGACCCTGTCTCTACAAAAAATACAAAAATTAGCTGGGTGTGGTGGCCTGCACCTGTAGTCCCAGCTACTCAGGAGGCTGAGGTGGGAGGATTGCTTAAGCCTAGGAGCTGGAGGCTGCAGTGAGCCATGATCATGCCACTGTACCACTGCACCCCAGCCTGGGCAACAGAGCAAGACCCTGTCTCCAAAACCAACCAACCAACCAGACAACCAAACAAAAAACCGCACAAAATAAAAGTAAAAAAACTGAAGCTAGAAATCTAGGGGTCTTTACAGACATAAATACTGACACTTCTCTAGAGAATAAAGTGCTGCTGCCCACATCCAGGGTCATCTTCCCCTTGAACATCACTTCCTCTTGGCTCTTTCAATGGCAGGGTCTATGGAATCCTCAAAATAGCTAGTCCCCAAGAGTCGGAGAAAATGAATAAACAAATGAGACTTAAAAGAGTGATGAAATGTACTGTATGTATGCCTGAAGGGTGTAATTAACTTTCTGTTCACTGGATACATTTTAAATCCAGGGTTAAGAATGACATTAAGGTATACCAGCTGCATAATGACAAAGACAAATGTTCTCTATGAGGAATAACCATGAACATTTCTGGGATGGGACTGATACCTGGGATGATATCAAGCGGTGCCTTCGCAATCAGTCATATCATTTTAAGCAGCACTCTGGCTAGCCTTTGCCTTTTAGGAAGTATTTTAAAAGGGAAACATTCCATAGAAGAAAAGTTCAAATTGGGCCTTTTTCACAAGTTTCTATCTGAAAATTCATCTCAGAAGATACAAAGACCACATTTCACAGCAATAACAAAAAGGGGTGGTAGAATTATGTAGTTTTTACCCCAATGACTCTCATCACGCCTTCAACAGCTGCAAAGATCAAGTAGAGAAGCCCCAATCCGATCACCCGGTGCATGACTGTTCCCAAACGAGGCCTGGAATCAGGAAGAGGAAACAGAGAAGAAAGAAAAAGCATGGGTGAGTAAAATGCACGTGAATACAGAAACCGGCACCATTTCCACCACCAGGAAGTCACTATCTAATCACATCGCTCTGTTCCCAGCTCTGAGGTACTCTGTTTTAGGAAACAGGCCCAGGAACACAGGGTCTCTTTCTCTAGGACCTGAAGCTATACTGATGCCTGTGAAGCAATATTTGCAGGCCACAAAGGTGCCAGAGGATTCTGCTGCTGAAATTCAAGCGATGGAATGAATATAATTCAGGTACTGTTTCTGTAGAATGGAAGAGTAGGTTTGATGAAATCTAGGAAGGTAAATGCCAACTTCTAAGTGCCACTGGCAGAGAGTCTAACTTAATTCTTCCCGAGGTCTGTCTTTTCAGAGATAATTCACTTATCTCATGACTTGGGCAGAGAAACAGCAGGATATGAGGAGACGGAACTCCATGACCTCCTTTCTGATCACCGGCCCTCAACCAAAACAGGAGTGCTAACAGAATTTAATTTTCATTCCTTAAACTGAAAGAGTTAAAATAACATTTTTGGGCCAGGCACAGTGGCTCATGCCTATAATCCTGGCACCTTGGGGGGCCAAGGTACACAGATCACTTGAGCTCAGGAGTTTGAGACCAAACTGGCCAACATGGTGAAACCCCGTCTCTACTAAAAAATACAAAAAATTAGCCAGGGGTGGTGGCTCCTACTCGGGAGGTTGAGGCACGAGAATCGCTTGAACTTGGGAGGCAGAGGTTGTAGTGAGCCAAGATCACACCACTGCACTCCAGCCTGAGCGACAGAGTGAGACTTTGCCTCTAAAAAATAAAAAAAAAAATTTTAAATACATTTTTGGCTCTTTCAAAATATAAATGAGTTGGGAAAATACAAAGATGGTGTTTTTTGCAATTAATAATTTAAAATAGAATAATTTCATGATATTTGCAAATCAGAATTTATTGCACATACATTTTAGGCTGCTCAAAACCCCCCCTCTCAGAGTAATTAGAAGAAAAAAACTGGTTTAAGAAAAATATTTAAGATAGTCATTTCAAAACAAAATAAAAGTAAAAAAATAAATTAATGGTCATAGCTCATATTTAATTAAGACTACTTACCTAATCTAAGGAATCTAAATTCTGACTCATTATAACCAACTAACCAGAACCTCCAAATAACCAGAACTGTTACTGCTCTCATGTTATGAGTTGAGCCAAGCAAGCTAACAGGGAAGGGATTCATTTAAAAAGGGTTTGTGTCTATACTCATTCATTTAATCTTCTATTCCTTTCACAGTAACAACACTGCACCTGTTGGTATCTGATGTTCATAACCAGAGCTGTGAAAGGTACTGCAAGATTCCTCAACAAAACGCCTTCGTTTCTTACACTGTACTAAGAACACAAAAGCATTTGAGAAAGAATCTCCAGTAAAAGTTCAGGGGGATAAAGGCTTCCAGGCTAAAATCCTGCTAACTCCCCAACTCCCAGCTCACAAGCAAATGGGCACACACACAGGAGGAGAGCCTAGGGGTGCGAGTCACAGAGCAGAGGCCTAAGCCTGGGCACCCAAGGGCCGGAGCTCAGGAACACAGGAGGCTGCAGCAGAGGAGGCTGGGGAGGAGTAGCCAGTGATGTGAGGGGATGGAAGATGAGCTCCCGGAAACCAGGCAAAGCTGGCACTCCTTAACTAAAGCTGCTCACGGGACAGCTGGACGAGGGCTGAGCGGGGCCATGTGATATGGCAGGGGAAGGTCACGGTGGCCTTGACGAGAGCAGTCTCAATGAAGCAATACTGGGGAGGCTGAGGTACAGACTACACATGTGAGAAGTTATGTCGCAGAGGGGAAAGGTGAATGAGGCAGAAGCGGAGGAGAGGCCATGTGGGGTGGAGGGAGGGCTTCACTTTAAAAAAATGGTAGAAATAACAAGATGCTGATGGGGGTGATCCACCAGAGAGGAAAGCGGATGATGCAAGAAAAAATGAAACAGAGCACTAGGACAGTTTCCCTCACAGCTGAGTGGGCACAAGGCAGGGGCGGCCCGTGACTATCAAGAAGAGGAAAGTGGTAGCTGCGGTCCAGATGTGGGGGAAACGACAAGGGCTGGGGGCACAGATGCGGTGGAATTCCCCTCTGATGGCTTCTACTTCCTCAGTGAAAAAAACCTAAGGCCAGCTGAGAGGAGGGTAGAGTCTGAGAGGTCTGAGAGAGAAGGGGTAAAATGGTCTTCCGCAGACAGGAGAGTGAGAAAATAGTGGCAAGGGGATTTAGTACAACTGCCAGCAGCACTGAGGGCACACGTGAAGTTTACGGTCACGATGGCAAGTGGGCCCCCTCAGTGTGGTCCAGTGCTCTTTTTGGGCAAATTCCCCTGCTCAGGTGGGAGCCTGAGGCAGAAGGAAAGCTGGACTTAGCAAGGCTGGAGTTTTGTCAAGAAGGTTGACAAAGAGAAAGGGGTCTTCGGGTGTCAGTGTCCTACTGGACCAGGGAATCCAAGCAAAAGGAAGAAGGTAATGATACAAGATGGGGAGGGACAACGGAAGGTGCCAGGGTCAAAAGGCTGGAGGCCAAAGTACAGTCAAAAAAGACTGAAGCTGACATGTTAGAGAAAATAACAGGAAACAGAGAAGGTGACAGTTGAAAAGTGGATTGCTTAAAATTGAGATTTTGAAGAGGGTGCAGTGATACATATAATAAAGTCTAGAAAATGGTACTGGGAATCAGTAGCTGAAACGTGGTGACAAACAAGAGCAGGAGAGGTGGGGAGGTGAGAGCAGCTTACTTAAAGGGTCACCCACATGGCTCCTGAGACCCCAGGGCCTTCTGACAGATGAAATGCTGAGGACGACACCTGTGAAGCCAGTGCCCACAGAGCTGAGGGATGAGGGAGGGTCTGGAAGCTCACAGTAACCACAGTAAGATGCAGCGGGTGATCCAGCCTGAAGAGTGAGCTTCTGGGAATCAGGGTTTTAGGAAAGAAGCAGGAAGAAAGGTCTGAAAAACGCAGCAAGGATAGAAATCAAGTTCTCCCATAGTTGTGCCCAGTGATTCACAGGTGAGAGGCAGAAAAGACCCGCCAGACAGGGTCCTCGGGGGACAGACGGGTTTCAGTCAGAAGTTCTGCTGACTCAGTGTTTAATCCACTCTCTTCCAACACTCAAACAGGACCATAAAAACTTAATGGTACCGTCTAAAAAACAGAAAAGGGTTGGAAAATGGTTTGAGTCACTTCAGATTTTCCATTATCCTTAAAATTGATTATTTATTCATCTAACTATATAAAGTTATCGAAATACAAATTCAGGGTCTTTATTGGAAGATAACATAAAATAGCAAGTATGTGGAAATCTTTTAAAAATGTGTTCTTGTAGATTTTTCCCGAAGGGATTTGTACTACAATACTTAGAAGTTCCATTTTCACAAAGGTCATAACGTAGACGGACTGAATCACTGGGCTGGGACCCAGCACCTCTCCACACTCTCGTACTCACTTCACAATGCCATAGCCCAGGCTCACGATGATCACGAGCAGGCGAGCCAGTGTCCTCTTCATTGCAGAAATCAGCTCCGCACATATCAATAAGCCTTGGGCTGAGGAAGAAAAAAATAATTCACTTCGTGTACATCTGGAAGCCTGCCAACCACGATTCTCAACAACATGTCCTGGGTATAACTACATTCGGACTTCAGACTAATCAGCCACATTTGATTTAAAAGTTATCGTATCCAACTGATGTTTGAAAACTTCAGTGAAAGATTCACACTCTCCTAAAGAATTCACTCCCTTTCTATCTAATCAGCTCCACTGGGCACGGCTTTCTTCTATCAGCCTGAACGCTGTCTCCCTGAGCTTCCCTCTGTTCTTGTTCTTTACAGAACTCTCTTCTTGTCCCGTAAATATTTAAAAACCATAACGTCCTCTAGAGTTCTCTTTTCTCCAGGATCTCCTCCTCATGTATTCATTTAAAATGTATCTGATATGCTCCTACTGTGTGGCTATAATAGTGAAAAAGACATCTTGATCCTTGCCTTCATGGAGCGTGTACTCCGGTTAGGCTAAGTAAATAGAACTCAGTGTGGTAAGAGCTAGAGGTAACGCAGCATCCCTCCAGACTTGGAAGAAGGTCAGTCTCATCTACACCTGGGGGAGCTAGAATTGGGTCCCAAAAAACTCAGAAAAAACTGACATCTAAATCAGAACTTGAAGGCTAAATAGGAGTTAAATTTTGGGGGGTGGGGGATGACAAAGCAAAGAACACGGCACATGCAAAGGCAGAGAAGAAAAGAGGAAACCAAACTATGTTGCAAGAAGTAAGTTCATTATGTCTGCAGCAGACAGTGTAATGGTAGATGTCAAGAAAAGACGCTGGTCATAAAGGCAGGGACCAGTCGTGCAGTTTGGAGCCCCTGTCATGGAGTCTGGACTCGATGTTAAGGGCAGTGGGAAGTCAACAACAATAAACAAAGGAACAAAGGAGGGATTGGTAAACTATGTCTGTAGCTCAGGATAAGAGAGCTCCACGGGAGAGAAAGCTTCAGGAGGAAAACAATGGATGAGCTCTGCAAAAGAGAGCAGAATGTGAAGAAGGGGTTTATGATCACAAATGCTGAGGGATGAGTGTGCCGTCAATCCCTCCATAGGCTGTCTATACTCCTCTTGAGGTAATGTGACTACAACCTTTCCGGTACAGTGTGAGCTGTACGGCAAGATTCTCAACTCCCTCCAGGCTCCTGCTGCAATCTAAGGTTGTGGGAGCTTCTGGGAGGCAACCACCCTGTTATTGCCTATGTTGAGTTTGCTTTTCATCAGCTTCAACTTTTAAACTCTTTTTAAAACTTTTCCATTGGTATTTCTGCAAGCTGTACTCTAAACCTAAGTTCAAGATCTTACCCATTAAATTTCACCTTTCTATTCATCATGTCAACTCTCTTGCCTCTCATCATGTATCTTCAAGTGAAAAAGGTCTATCTAAAATGATTCTCTATGCCCCTAAGTATTTTTTTTTGAGACAAAGTCTGGCTCTGTTGCCCAGGCTGGAGTGCAGTGGCCGGATCTCAGCTCACTGCAAGCTCTGCCTCCCGGGTTTACGCCATTCTCCTGCCTCAGCCTCCCCAGTAGCTGGGACTACAGACGCCCGCCACCTCGCCCAGCTAGTTGTTTTTTTTTTTTGTATTTTTTAGTAGAGATGGGGATTCACTGTATTAGCCAGGATGGTCTCGATCTCCTGACCTCGTGATCCGCCCGTCTCGGCCTCCAAAAGTGCTGGGATTACAGGCTTGAGCCACCGCGCCCGGCCATATGCCCCTAAGTATTTACGACCCTGGCCGGCCTCACATCATCCACAAAATTTAAGAGAATGCTGTCTACATAGTCACACAATAAATGTTAGTTGAACAAACCAACAGATTCGCAACAAGAATAAACCAGCAACAAGGTCTAAAATCTGAGAGAGACACCATTCAAAGCCTCCTAGCTCAATGGTTCTCAATCCTAGATGCATATTAGAATCACCTGGAAGCCTCTATACAGCCCCAATTCCTAGGTCTGCCCTAATCAGAATCTCTGGCACTGGTACCATTTTAAAGTTCTTCAAGTGATGCTAATGCAAAACTAGGGATGAGAACCATTGTTCCAGACTGGTGCTGTCCCACAGACCCTTTTGCAATGATGGAAGTGGTCTACCTCTGTGCTGTCCAATACAGCAGTCACTTGTCACCTGTGGTTACTGAGCACTTGAGATGCAGCTAGAATAACTGAGGAACTTAATTTTTAATGTAATTTAATTTTACTTCAGTACCCACATGTGGCTTGTGGCTACCACAGAAAACAGCACAGGTCTAGGCTGACCAGTGATTATTTCCATGAACTCTTTAGACATGGCTGCACCACCAGTTTTCAGCTCATCTTGTCCACAAGAAACAAGAGGCCTTGTCAAATGCCTTGAAGAAGTCAGCTAGACTAAGTTTACTACATCTTCCTAACTGTCAATCTAGCATCCCAAAACAAAAAAATGAGTCTGACATGATCTATTCTTAATGTACCCATGTCGGGTCCTAACAATCAATGCTTCTCATCCTTCTAATGATTTTTCTAAATTTGATGCTTCAAGATCAATGCTGGGCAATAAAGCCCCTGTCCCAGAATTCCCACCTGGGAAAATCAGAAAGGACCTCAGTTCCTGCTCACCTCTCCTATTGGACAGGACTCCTCAAAGACCCTGACAGCGGTCTGGGTATCTCTTCCAAGCCCTCCAGTGCCATCTTGGACAGCCTACATTCCCTGAGGATGGCAGATGGCCTCTCATCTCTTCATGGATCTCAGGTTTTCGCTGTTCCACACTAAAGTGCATGCCACCCTTTACCCTCACCAAACAAGAGATCACCACCACTGACAGCAAAGCATCAGAACTGCCTTCTCTACATTCTGGAATGCTTCAATTCTAAGCAGCAGACCTACCCTTCCTTCATCATCTGGTTTAGAGCATGCACACATGCACACACGCACGCACGCGCACACAAACACCATAAAAAACTTCATACAGAGTAGCGATATCTCTAATATGCATCCTGGATGTCTGTCCTTTCTTTGTTCTTTGGTACCTGTCCTTTTAAACTTTTTATCTGGGGAAATTTCAAATATTCCCCAAAAGAGAGAAAGCAATATAGTGATTTCCCATGTACCCATCATGCAGCTTCAATAATTAGCAACATTATGGCAAATTTGTTTCATCTATAGTCCAATTCATTTTTTTTCTAGAGTATTTTTAAATAAGTAACAGATACATAGTGCCAGCTACTCCAGAGGCTGAGGTGGGCAGATCATTTGGGCCTGGAGGTCAAGGCTGCAGTGAGCCAAAATCGTACCATGCACTCCAGACCGGGCAACAGATCAAGACCTTGTCAATCAATCAATCAATCACAGACAAAATCATGCCCTTTGCAAATCTGCATCAAGACCATTTGTAACTGGTCACTCAGAAGTACACTCTTGAGCACCTTCAACCCCTTTGAGCACTCTCTTTCCAAGGGTTCGGTGGGAGAGTTGTACCTCTACTTCTCTGGCCTGAAATCTACTTTCTAGAAGTCTGGGGCACACATCTGAGGATGCCCAGCTGTACGGCCTCCCTGCTTCACAAACTCCACTCTGTAAACTGTGATGGTGCCTCCACTGGTCATATGAAGATCTCAGCGGGAGTAACGAGGTGGGGAGAGCACAAGGAGGCTGCAGGCACCATCCATTCCAGCACCCCTGATTTTACTCCCTGTGGCCAATTTCCTTTCTTTTCTTTTTTAAAGGAGAAGGAAAAGAAGATGTGGAGGGAAGGAGAAATATGTTAAAAGGATTGACAGCACCTGAAGTCTCCCTGTCCAGAAATTTGTGCTGTTTTAATCCAAGCTGAACCTTAGGAAATGGGACTTTTATTTTTCCCAGGAGGAAAGTGAGGGGAAAGTTAGCAAGAAGGAAAACATAACAAAGAGAAGACACATGCTCAGCCAGATCAGAGGCCTACTCTGACATTCTTTTCTTGGCTTTCCTTCTCTTCATCTATAATATGCCTGTTTCCAAACCCCTGTTCAGAGGGGGGCCTCCCACCGCTCTGCTCATAAATGCTGGGGAACTCTTAGATCATACTGTATTTACAGACAGTCAAAAAACTTACTTGACAGTCCAGTGTTGCTGACGTTTTGGTATTCACTATAAAAAACTGCTTTTTCAAGCATTCCCAGGAAAATAACAGCTGCAATCCAGAACTGGATTCTTAATATGTCTTTCCAATAACAGGCAGACCACATCAGCCAGAGTATGCCATATAATATATAAACAATACACATCACCATGTAAAACTGCAGGAAGAAAAGCAATTTTAGTCAGTTAAGACTTCGGATCATTTGGAAGCTGGCACTTCTACATTCAAGTATCCAACCCTTCATTTTCCAGTCACTCTGGAACCAGAAAGAGAGGATATGTCAAAGCATTAACTACTGAGGAATTACTACCACGAAGCTCTTAGGGTATAAAATTCATTTTTTAAAAATGAAAAAATGATGAGAAATACTCACAATCATTAGGGGCCAATCTGATGCAGAGATATATCCATGAGGCCCAATCATAGAAAGAGAAACTGGGATAGAGAAGAGAGAGTTAATTGTCAGTCTTAAGTCTTTAAATGTAAGTTCATTTCCCAGAAGGCTCCAAGAATAACAAGCCACACTAACAAATGTAGCACATACATGCTATTGGACAATTAGTAATTGTTTGATTATGTAACCTTGCCAAGATACTTTCACTGTAAGACCAGAAACTCTAAAACTGCTAGAAGAAAACATAGGGAGAACACTACACAACACCGGTCTGAGCAATGACTTTTTGGATTTGATCCCAAAAGCACAGGCAACAAAAGCAAAAATAGACAAATGGGATTACATCAATATAAAAAGCTTCTTTGCAGCAAAGGAAACAACAGTAGACATAGACTACTGAAGACTGGGAGATAAAATTTGCAAGCCATATATCCAAGAAGGAGTTAATATCCAAAATATATAAGCTCAAACAACTCAATAGCAAGAAAACAAAAACTCCATTAAAAGAACAGGCAAGGGGCCAGGCGTGACAGCTCACACCTGTAATCCCAGCACTTTGGGAGGCCAAGGTGGGCGGATCACTTGAGGTCAGGAGATCGAGACCAGCCTGACCAACACGGTGAAACCCTGTCTCAACTAAAAACAGAAAAATTAGCCAGGTGTGGTGGCATGCACCTGTAATCCCAGCTACTTGAGAAGCTGAGGCAGGAGAATCACTTGAACCCGGGAGGTGGAGGTTGCAGTGAGCTGAGATCACGCCACTGTACTCCAGCCTGGGCAACAGAGTGAGTTCTTGTCTCAAGGCAAAAAAAAAAAAAAAGGCAAGGGACCTAAATAGACATTTCTCAAAATAATACATATCAATGAGCAACAGATACTAATATATGAAAAATACTCAACATCACTAGTCATTAGAGAAATGCAAATTAAAACCCTAATATCATTTCACACCTGTTAGAATGGCTTTTATCAAAAAGATGAAAGACAGTAAGTGCTGATGAAGATGTGGAGAAAAGGGATGCTTTGTACACTGTTGGTGAAAATGTCAATTAGTACAGCCATTATAAAAAACAGTATGGAAGGTTCTCAGAAAATAAAAACAGAATTACCATATAGTCCAGTAATCCCACTTTACTGTTTATCCAAAAGATCTAAAATCAGTTTGTCAAAAAGCTGTCTGCACCCGCATGTTCACTGCAGCAGTATGAACAACAGCTAAGTTATGGAATCAATGTAAGTGTCCATCAACAGATGACTGGATGAAGAAAATGTCTATACATACACAATGAAATACTATTCAGTCTTTAAAAAGAAAGAAAATTCTGTCATTTGCAACAACATGGATGGAATTGGAAAACGTCGTGCTGAGTGAAATGAGTCGGGCACAGAAAGACATGCTGCACATTTTCACTTATATGTGGAATCTAAAGCAATCAAACTCGTCAAACGAGAGCAGAATGGTGGGTACAGAGGCTGGGGGGTAGGAGGCATGGGCAGATGATGGTCCAAGGATAAAAAAAAAATCTCAGACAAGAGGAATAAGTTTTTTCTTTTTTTTTGAGTTCCACTGCACAGCATGGTGAATAGTTAATAGAGTACTGTATGTTTCAAAATTGCTAAGAGTACATTTCAAATGTTCTCACCACAAAAAATGTTAAGCATTTGGGGTGATGAATATGTTAACTAGTTTGATTTAATTATTCCACACTGTATTTATAGATTATAACATCACTTTGTACCCCATACATTTATATCATTATAATTGTCAATTTACAACAAAAAAGAAAAAAAGAGACACCTTTACTTGTATACACACTATTCTAAAAACCTGCGCCAAATCTGGTCACATACAAGAGCACACTAGTCCCAGCTACCAAACAAGAACTCAGACTGGCCCCCTTGCTAATTCACTGATCTCACTGGGACCTTATCTTCCTTGTCATAACTTGGAATAAATTACCAAACTCACAAATCTAGGCTGAGTTTTGTCTGAGACAGCAATAATAAACCAAGTGCCAAGTACAGTGCAAAACATGCAGTGCTCAGCAACAGCTCCAGCTACTAATTAGCAGGGACTCGAAACTGCCCGCTGGTGTCAGTTATATATTTGAGACGGAGTCCCTCGCTCTGTCACGCACAGGCTGGAAGTGAGAGTGGCGGATCTCAAGATCACTGCCAAAGCTCCGACCTCACACGGAGGTTTAACGCCATTATCCCTGCCCTCAGCATCCCGAGTAGCTGGGAAAACAGGCGCCCGCCACCTC